TGTGCACAGCCAGCCTTGTACTCTTCTAGGTTAAAAAAAAACTGTCGTCCATAAAATGCGTTGCACAAATTCGAACATCTGGGTTGTGCTGTTCTGTTGTAAATAAATCTTAACCAATGATTCCTAAATGCATCTACTTCCGGCAGGCCAAATAAAGTGCTTTTGCTTTTGCTTTCGCCTAGAAACACACAGTGTCTCCCTGACATGGCTGCTTCAACCCTAACTGCGGTTACTGAAACCACGCCTTCTTTCTTTGCATGAACGTTTGGGCGGCATTATTCAAATATTTTCACATAGTGAGGTAGATATGTGGGGGCGTGTTAGAACGAGCCGTTTTAGGGGGGCGTGGCAGAGTCTTAACTTTGATAAAGAATATCTCTTTGGTTTTGAGACTTTAGTCTTTGCAACTTCAGGGATCTTATCTATGAACAATCAGCTTGTAACACTCCAAAGAGAAAGGAAAACTTGAAATCACATCATATGACCCCTTTAACACTGCTTAACCTTAAACACCATGATCTACGTGAGTCCACCATTGCACACACATCAGAGGGTAATATTTGCATTGCATTCTGGGATGGATTGCTGAAGGCCGTCAGGTCATGAGGTGCATGATCGAAACACGACACGCAGACAGCTGTGTTCGCTAAATCTGTTCCTGAGTTCAGCAGGACGGTATTGTTGTATAATAATACAGCAGTCATGTGACACGTGCACATTTAGAACGTGCATTTAAAATCTTTACATACATGATTATTTATTTATCACAAAGCTGCTGACAAAATCACACACCTGCTGTTGCATATTCAATATTAATGCATTAACAATGCAACCAGGGTTATAATCGGTTAACTAAAACTAAAATACATTTTTATAATAATAACATTTATTAATAAACAAACTAATAAACATGATAAAAACACACAACAAAATTACTAAAATGTATATTTTTAAATATATTTATATTTAAAAATATTTATATTTTAACTAAAATTTTGATGAAAATTAAAAAAACTAGTTCAAAATACTAATAAAAACTATGAAAGTGATGCTAAAATAACACTGTCTCCTGAAGCCTGAAAGAGGGTTATTATCATTAACTAAAACTAAAATTAAAAGCATAAAAAAGTCTCAAAATAAAATATTAAAAAACGTAAACTTATTTTATTTCAGATAGCTGCCAATGCAGAATTTCTCATTTTCTTTCAAGTTTAACTCGAAGTGCTAAAATAACTCAAATTAAAAACTATAACTAATAAATAAAAATTAATAAAAACTATATAGACATATTTTTAAAAAGCTACTAAAAATGACAAAAACACAACTAAATTACTAAAACTTTAACTAAAACAAAATATTAAAAATAAAATCTTAAAAGTATTAACAAAAACTATAATAGTATATTAATGATACTAAAACGGCAACATTGGCAACCAAAAGATGCAAAAAATACTATTAATAAAAAATGTAAATATTTATTTAAAATGAGGGTCAGTGTTTTATAATGCTTTATTATAAACACTCACACACACTCACACACACACTCACACACACACACACATATAAATGCTTTAAATTGATGTGAGCATTCTGTCTTCATGTAGCAACCGCGGAGCGATCAGAGCTCATGATCCTGTAAGATGTCTTTACCTTCAGGGTCCAGCATTTTCGGGATGTCCAAGTGCTTCTCTGCAATTTCTAACGCTAGACTGAGATTTCCAAGATGATCGTCCTGCACAGAGAAAACTAGAGCAATGAAGCGCATGACTTCTGAATTAATTACAGCACTACATCTGTACAACGTTTCAAACCCATTTAAATGATTAGCAAAAGCTCCTGAGAGGGTTATATAGTTAACTCAAACGAAAACCATAAAAAGCGTTTGTGTTACTTGAAATCAAATAAATGTTAAAATATAAACTAAATATTTGAAAATCATTTCAGATAGCTGTCAATGCAACATTTCTCATTAGCTTGATGTACTAAAATAACTAAAACGGGAATAAAAATGTTAAAAAAACAACAACAAAAAAAAAGATAAAAAAGTACTAATTTTTTTTTATTTAACTGAGAATGAAAATATAAAAATTAAAAAAAATAAAATATATATATATATTTATAATGCTTTATTATAAACACTCACACACACTCACACACACACTCACACACACACACTCACACACACACTCACACACACACACACATATAAATGCTTTAAATTGATGTGAGCATTCTGTCTTCATGTAGCAACCGCGGAGCGATCAGAGCTCATGATCCTGTAAGATGTCTTTACCTTCAGGGTCCAGCATTTTCGGGATGTCCAAGTGCTTCTCTGCAATTTCTAACGCTAGACTGAGATTTCCAAGATGATCGTCCTGCACAGAGAAAACTAGAGCAATGAAGCGCATGACTTCTGAATTAATTACAGCACTACATCTGTACAACGTTTCAAACCCATTTAAATGATTAGCAAAAGCTCCTGAGAGGGTTATATAGTTAACTCAAACGAAAACCATAAAAAGCGTTTGTGTTACTTGAAATCAAATAAATGTTAAAATATAAACTAAATATTTGAAAATCATTTCAGATAGCTGTCAATGCAACATTTCTCATTAGCTTGATGTACTAAAATAACTAAAACGGGAATAAAAATGTTAAAAAAACAACAACAAAAAAAAAGATAAAAAAGTACTAATTTTTTTTTATTTAACTGAGAATGAAAATATAAAAATTAAAAAAAATAAAATATATATATATATATATAAAATAAAAATTATAATTAAAAAATATATATTTATAGAAACTAATAGTCTCAATGATGCTAAAATATCACTGTCTCCTCGAGTGCTTTCATTCTTGCAGGCTGAGATCTGTGTTGCCAAGTCTGCAGTTTTACCGCAAAAGTGGGATACTTTTACACTGGTTTTTTTTTTACTTTACACTGTTTCCGCAGGTTGTTTTTTAGTCCGCATGTTAAAGCAACCACTGGGGAAAACCACTGGAAAATTGCTATTGGGATAGTTTTGAATCAATCTGGGTTTTTTTCCGCAGACCTGGCAACCCTGGTTGAGATTAGATCATGACGCTCTCATGCGACCGGCTGTTAACCAGTTCTGGTTTCAGACGCGGTCTTCAGGATTATCAGTCAGTGTGAGGGACCCCGTTAAATCCCGTCTGGTCATTCAAGCAGTTCACGATCAAATGACTCGCATCGTTCAGAGCAGAGAAACAGATCAGCTCTGTAAATAGATCATCTGTGACAGAAAACCTGCTCCCATCTCTCAGTCTTTAGCAAAACCACCCTCATCAGGCTCTCATCATCCCTCAGTGTGGTAAAGCACAAATAATGTGCATTAGAGTCTGTGGTGCAGCAGATTTTCAAATCAGAAATGTGAATTTTTGTTAAAGCACTAGTGTTTAAGGCTATAACCAGACGTTCATGACCGAGAACAGCAGGTGCAACTAGAACTTAAAAAATGTAAACTAGTTCTGCTTCTGAAGCCTGTGAATGATTTGTATGTGCATTATTATAAACACAATTACTTTGAACAAACTGCACTGTAAAAAATGATTTGAGACTAGTTAAAATGACTGTCTGTCACAAATACATGCTGTTTATCCAAACAATGCATTCAGCTATCGATTTAATCACACTTCCATATGATTAGTAATAATAATACAAACGGCATCCTAAAACCAGGGTTATTATCCTTAACTAAAACTATTCAAATATTTTAATTAATTGAAATAAAGCTGAAATAAAATCAAATGTAAATAAAAAAGTTATTTAAATCATTTCTAGTTTTCATTTAGTTTAAGTCAAAGCACTAAAATTACTGGAAATAAAATGAAACGATAAAATAATAAAAAAATAAAAGAGAAAGAAAGAAAGAAAGAAATTTAACTAAACCTAATTTAAATAAATAAAAAGTAAATTACAAATTTAAATTAAATAAAAACTTTAATAAAAAATCAAATAAAATGAAAATAAATAAATTAAATAAAAATTTAAATAAAACCTAAATAATAACATTTAAAAAAATAAAAAAGTAATAATAATAAAAATAACAGATGCACGACAATATTATTTAAAAAATATCTAATATCAAAATGAAAATGAAAACTGAAAGTAAACAAATAAAAGCTCATTCAAAATATTAGTAAAACAATACTAAAACAACACTGCCTTAAAACCTTAAAGAGCGCTGCATGAACAGTGGTTTGTGTGAATGATTTTGTAGGTGAGTCATCTGTTAGTTAACACACACACACACACACACTCCCTCACACACACACACACACACACACACTCGCACACACACACACACTCCCTCACACACACACACACACACACACACTCGCACACACACACACACTCCCTCACACACACACACACACACACACACTCGCACACACACACACACTCCCTCACACACACACACACACACACACACTCGCACACACACACACACTCCCTCACACACACACACACACACACACACTCGCACACACACACACACTCCCTCACACACACACACACACACACACACTCGCACACACACACACACTCCCTCACACACACACACACACACACACACTCGCACACACACACACACTCCCTCACACACACACACACACACACACACTCGCACACACACACACACTCCCTCACACACACACACACACACACACACACACTCACACACACACAGGTTGAGTCGCTGTTGATCAGAGACCTTGTTGAGTTTGGCGTAGTCGATCAGGTCGGGTCTGTGTCTGTGAATGAGCGCACAGAACGCCAGACCGTCCTTCCAGCTGAACCAGGGAAAGCAGACTTTAGCAGGACGAAAATGAAAATAAAGCATGTGAAATAAACTGTATTTTCACGTTGGTACCTGCAGTGGAAGTTCTGTACGTTGACGTTCCTGTACGGGGCCGTTTTCCTCTGACACCACAGCAGGAGCCCTTCTTTAGCCGAGGTTTCTGACAGAGACTCAGTGTTAAACATGCGTAAAGCGTGTTAGTTTCATGAGATGCAGTGTGTGTGAATCTCTCTTTACCCTCCACTGAGATGTCCTGGATGGCGAAGCGCAGGATGATGGTCCAGATCATTCCCAGAGTCATCTTCACATTCCCATCAACAATCTCTGAGGATCCAAGACACGCTCCAGTTCCTCACGATTAGGACATCTTACTAGCTTAATTCATGCAAATAACTGTGCAATGATAGTTTTTTTTTAAGTATTAAAATACAGTGTGTGCATAATTATTAGGCACGCTGATATTCTGATCATATTTTTTTTCCAAGCGCATAATAATACAAAATTAATAGTAGTTATTAAGAAAAAAATATGATCAGAATTAGGACATTTTACTAGCTTAATTCATGCAATAATATTACACTGTAATTTTTTTTAAAGTATTAAAATATTTGCATTTTATTATTTACATTTCACTTTATCTATTTATTCATTTTACATTCCATTGTTTAGTTTTTTTTGTAAAGTCAGGAAAACCTAATATCGATTATTATTATTACTTGATATAAAAAATAATTGAAAATGAAAAAATAAACCTAATTAGTATTTATTTTTAAATAAACAAAGACAAAAAACAAAAAGAAAAATTACAAAAGCACATGACAAAATTACTAGCTCATTTAAAATATTAATAACAACCATATATATATATATATATATATATATATATATATATATGTGTCATATTTCATATAATAATCAATATTATGTTGCTCTGATATAAAATCAAAGAAATTTTTTTTTTTTAAATATTAATTAATAATTTAATTGAATTATTTGTAATATTATTAATTATTTTTAATATTTTTAAATATTTAACAATTTAGAATATTCATTTTACCCTGTATAATATTTCTTAATTCACAGTTATTTGCATGACAGTCAAACTAGTAAACATGTTGTAATTATGACAGACTGACATCAGAAACATTTACATAACCCTATGAATACAGAATCAAATCATTAATCGAATTCGGACTGAACTGAATCTCACTGTGAACTGAATCAAATCGAATCGCTTTGAGTTTGCAAAAATCACTCCTGAATTGAATCAAAAACCTATGAATAGTGAATCAAATTGATTCACTGTCCACCCAGAGATTCTCATCCTACTGATCAGGATTTAAAATGCAGAATGATTGCAGTATATGATTTCATATAATCATAATGCAGCTGTGACAGGCCCGGGATTTTAATACATTTAGAAAATGCCAAACATCTATTAGCAACAAAAGCAGAGTCGAGATACGAGTTTAAAGCAGTCAAAGCTCTTATTTTCAGCAGTGCTTCTGAAATTCAGTTCTCCATCAATGTGTTTCTCTCTCACCCTCGGCGCCGATGGACACCAGCTTCACTCCTTTACTGGTGATGTAGTCCAGAGCTTTGTTCACATTGGCGATTTTGTGGAAGCGCATCTTTCCTCTGTCTGGTCTGGGAAGCCTTTCACCTGGAGGGAAACAAACGGTCAGCGAGAGACAGAAGAAGATGAAACGGTCTCCTCAGAAGCGCTCAGTACCTGAGATGACCTCCAGCAGCAGCATCAGCTTCAGCCCGTTCCTCAAATCCTCCTCGATGTTCTCGATCTGCGTTCCTGCTTTCCTCAGGTGAGAGTTACACCAGGCTGTGAACGTCTGAGACACACACACAGACACAGACACAGACACAGACACAGACACAGACACAGACACAGACACAGACACAGACACAGACACAGACACAGACACAGACACAGACACAGACACAGACACAGACACAGACACAGACACAGACACAGACACAGACACAGACACAGACACAGACACAGACACAGACACAGACACAGACACACACAGACACAGACACAGACACACACACAC